TAATCACTGTCTCGTTCGTGAAAAATACACACTGACCGTTTTCAAGATGGATGGCTAACTGAACAGCTGCTGGATCCCGTTCATGAATTAGAAAACCGAAGATACGCCAAGCAGCTTCATTGGAGCTGATATACCGACCAGTTTGGTAGAGCGTAATTTCCCCGTTTTTGTTCATTGGAGGAGCATTTACATTAGTATTTTCTACTCTAAACACAGCCATATCACTGCCTTTCTGGACATACTTATATATTTGATGCTCTTCACAGAACTGCAAAGCTCAACATTTATATGAGCATTGTATGTCTTGCTTAGCAGAGGCGAATACGGCACCACCCGCCATTGTCCCCAAGTAACGGGATTTCTTCGACGATATATTAGATATCCGTCGGTATTTGTTATATTTGTTGTATTTGTTAGTGAAATCTTTAGAAAAATTTTTAGTACATTTTCCATCTGCCATGCAAGGCGAAGACGAAGAAACGAAGTGGATGTAAATGCTCGATGTACTTGTTGGCGTAGTTACATAAAATATTAAGAAAAAAATTTTTCTTTTTCAAAAATTTAAACAAAATTTATGTGGTGGGTTCAAATTCCGAAGTAAAATAATCGGTGATTCAGTCGTAAAATGTGTGGTGGCATGCCTGGCAAATCCAGTGAGTTTAAAAACTCTGCTGGATAGTTTACAACTTCGTTGGTATCACAAACTGTATCGATCGATTTGTATGATATTAAGTCGCCTGGCAATGTCTGTTTTATCTTGAAGTTTAATTCATCAACGTCCACGTTTTTTTGCTGCTAATTTCTCTTTCTGCCAGCCACCCATGATTTATGTATTGTATGTGTACATCTGGAAATACGCGGTCAATGAGAGCATTTTGGGAATCAACGATAGTGCGGAAATTAGGGGGCAGTTTTATGAATTCGGTATTTTCATAGACATTCATAGATTTTCATAGACTTTTCATATCATAGCAAGTTTTCTTATTCAAAAATGTAAAAAAATGTATGTCAAAAAAATAAAAAAATTTTTGTTAAAGCAATAAAGATATTTTTGCTGGATAGGGACACCCTAATCACTTTAGCGGTATGAAAAATAGATAGTAGCCGATTCCAGACCTCTGAATACGGATTAAATTTGGTAAAAATTGGTAAAGCCGTTTCGGAGGAGTACGGTATAACATTTTGACGACGTTAATTTTATATATTATAATACATATTTAATAATAAAATAAATTTTATGTAATAAAATAAAACAAAAAAAACATGTTTTTAAATTTCTGCATAGAATACCAAAAAAAAAAAACATAAAACCGTACAAACGAAGCAAATGCTTTCATCCCTCAAATAATTTGTGTGATGCACGTTTGTTTGCATTTTGCGCTCTCACTTCACCTTTTGCTTACGAAGTCTTCGAAGTTTTTCACTACATTTAAACTTCGAAGACTTCGAGAACAAAAATTCACAAAAACTTCGAAGTTTTTTCCAACTTCGAAGACTTCGTTGAAATGCGAATATTCGAATAATCGAAGAACTTCGAATTTTTAAAAACTTCGAATAATGTGAACAGCACTAATATGTACGTTACACAAACTCTCAAAGTCAGGTGTTGCGAAAACGCAACAATGTCAAGAAACGAGTACTAAAGTTTTTTCCCGGTAAGAAAACTATTGCTTGCAACAGGTAGTCTCAATTGATTTTTTAGCGTAATAGCAATTAAATAATAAGCTTGCTCCAACTTATCACAAAAAATATTCCCATGTTTGAAAATATTTAATGTTATCTTATGAATTTTTATGGTATTTCAGTATAATTTTATAATTTTTCTTAGAAACTATACAATGTTGGTGTATAAATATAAATTATTGAATAAATACACTAAGACTTCTAATACAATCATAAGATTCAAATTAACATTTCTAGTGTCAATTTAATATGTGTGATATTAAAGATATTTTAATGGGACCTAATGATATTGATTCCCCTGATAGTACACGCATTACTATCTTGCCTCCGCCCAATGTCGATAACCAGAGTGATGCGAAGGAATTAGATGACATGTTGATGGAGGATGGAGAACAACTACCAAATGAAGTAACAGGTGAATTAAAAATGGTTTTCAATTATACAGCCGATTAAGTTGAAACTAAGATATCAAAAAAAAAAACAAAGAAGAAAAACTAACGTGGTCCAAAATTTGTAAATATAAATGTAAATATAAAGGACATATCTAAGCAGCTACGAGGAACAAGTGATGATCGATGGAATGACAATTCTGTAGTTACAGTAGCATCAAACCACATCGCAACTCTTCCTATGCAAACTACCAGACACTTTATTAGAAAAGAGAAGAAATTGGCTAATATCAGCATGCCAAACATTATAAACCATTATAATAAAACAACGGGTGGCGTTGATCTCCTTGACAATGCTATAAACAATTATCGAATACGGATTTGAGGGAAAAATGGTACTGGCCTCTTATAACTAATGGACTTGATGCAGCGATGGTTAAAGCATGGAAACTCCATTGCATTTTTCAAAAAAATGTTAAAAAAGGCAATTATATCACGTGTAGAAGTAACAGAGTATTTGCTACTAACTGAGGATCAAACACCCAAAAATTCCAACATCATCAAGATACGACAATGTTGATCATACAGTATCCCAAACACCTGACAGACAGAGGTGTAAATTCTGTCGCAGGCAAATCATATATATCTGTACCAAATAAAATGTGGCTTTGCATCCTAAGTGTTTTAAAAATTATCATAACAAATAAATTAAATGTTCAAAAAATACAAAAAAATAAAAAATTAATAAAATTAAAAACACAAAAACTTTTTGGTAAGTGAACCTTTATTCTGACAATATTGCGAAAACTCAACAGTGGGTGCAGCCTAAACTGAGCGGGTTAGCCAAAAAAAAAATTTTTTTTCTTGATTAGGAGTACATAAGTGCACAAGTAAAACGGGTTCAAGAAATGCCGCCTCCTTCTAGTAGCGTCAGATAATGGGTTAAGTAAGAATTATACAAATACTACATATTCAAAATATTAAATATTAATATCATATTTTACTAGATAAGAATACAAAAATTAAATAATAATTACATTCATAGCAAAACTGTATTAGTGTGAAAAATAAGTTCAAGTAATATAAAAAAAAATATATATATATATAAAATGATTAATTTTAGGACTACAAAATATGAAAAATTAAACCAATACTATAAATCACTTGTAATTACATAAAATCTTTGTAGTGCAAATTACTTACATATTTATTTCAACTAATTTACACTTCTCTTGAGGGATAGGGTGTAGTACCTATGACCTACGTCAATGCCAAATGTGACAAGCCACTGTTCATTCAGACAAAATAAATGTGTCATAAATTATAAGATGCACTTTTGTCGGTTTGACACTTTGACTTTGATGCATTTGTAACATAAGACATGATAAGCATGTGTGGTCATTGCACTATTCCAACCCAAATTCCAAAAAGTACATTTAACTTTTAGAAAATAGTACATGACGTATAATTGTAATAAGTTAGAAGAGTATCCATTTATGAAATATATGTAATTGTGAAATTAATATAATTTATGGGAGTAACCAATGCATTGATTGATTACTCAACTTAAATAGAAGTAAATAATAATTGTTTAGTAAATACGTTAGAATAAGTATAAAAACTCAAGATTATTAACAATTAAAGCAGATTCATTCAAAAATCGATTCAAAAATCGTCTTTTAATTGTGAATCGTTTTCTATGCGGCATTTCGATGCTAAAAAGGAAAAATCGGCTGAAGAGCTCAGAAATACTTATAATCTCAAAGTTACGTCGATTTCTCGATTTGGTTGGATAGGCTATCTTCATATCCTTTTTAGAAACAAAACTCATAGCAAGTCAATCTTACTACAAACACAACATGGCGATCCTACCACCCTAACATAACAAAATTCACGAAGTAAACAATAGTACAAAAGAACATGAAGAGGAATCGGATCATTTGACAGATTACGAAATAAATCAATTAATAGATAGACGACAAAATGTTTTTAATTATTTAATGAGGGTAAGTATTATATAATTTGTTAATGATGAAATTGGTGGTGGTGAAGATAGTTGTTGCGGTATAGATGGTGACGACTCAGCAACAGTCATAGGCGGTAGTAAGGAAGATGAAGATATAGAAATTGGTTTAGAAATTGCATCCACTTGTATAAGTGCTTGAAGTCGAGTACCATGTTTACTCTTTCAAATCCAACATTTAGGATGTGAGCGTTTCTCATTTTTGGGGAGTCTCCAAAAATCTCATCCTCCATGTATGGTGGAAAACATGGGCTAGTGCCAGTTCTTTTATTGTTGTCAATATATACTTTTGGAAAAGTCCGCATTTTGCCCTCTAGGCATAGACGCGTTCATTCTTGATCCTAAAAAAGGAAAAACATAAGTTTTGTTTCGTGATTATATATTGCATATTTAACTTGCAGTAATATTTAGAGAGAGCATGTCTTCTAAAACATTGCCGTATAGAGCGCATTCGATATATGTATGTGGTGAATGATGCGTATTATTAGTTCACATAGATTTCTAAATGATCAGTAGCGAAAATTCCGTTTATGGGGATGAGTGCATGCGCATTTGTTGTGTAGAAATTTTATATAAATAATTTTATAATAAGTCTTATTTTAAATTAAAAATTTTCCCTGCATAAATAACATTTTTTTTTGAAAAGGAGTTTTCCGGAAAAGTGCCGTGTGGTTAACCACACGCTGGGACCCATAGCACATTTTTCTCTCTTCGATTGTACAAACATTTTTATGTGTTTTGTTCTCAAATATGGTATTTAGTTACTTTTATGGTGAAGTAAGTATAATTGCAAGTTGTATAAAGTAAAAGTTAGTATAAAAATCAATGTTTCATTATTTTCAAATATTCATTAATCAAAAAATATATTTGAATTAATACATATGTATTCTATTATGTGAAAAGAAATAAGCTTACTTGCGTCATTGCCTACGATCAATGTAATATTGTATATTTTCATGAAAAATTTTGGTGTACAACCAAACTTTTTTTTCTCTGCTATAACGTTGCACATTTACTATGGGTTCAACGGAATGATACAGTATGTTGCAATGGATATTCACAATGGACTTGATGCAGCGATGGTTAACGCTTGGAAACTCCATTGCATTTTTCGAAAAAATATTGAAAAAAAGGCAATTATATTACAAGCTGACTTCCGTGTAGAAGTAACAGAGTATTTGCTACTAACTGAGGATCGGAAGCATTTTCGACACCCAAACATGCCAACAACTTTTGTTACTTTTTTGATCTATAAAAGTAACAAATATAGGTAATTAAAAATTTAATTAATTTTAAGTTTATTTACTTTCTATCTGATTATGTATGTTGTTTAATCAGATCTTTTAAGAATTTGTGATTTTCGTTTATTTTCCTCTCCATCTCTCTTAACCGATGATCGGTAGATGATACTGCAAGCTTGTCTTTAATAAAAAAAAAAAAATTAATTTATGCGCTATTGTTATATTAACTGAATTTGTTACTTACATGAAGTTTGGAAACCTTCATTTGGTTCCATCGCAGCGCGTTTTAAATTCTTTTCCATTTCCATATTTACTCTGTTCTATTATTTATTAAATTAATTCTATATTATTATAGAATTAATTGCAACAATGTAGCAGGGATGTTTCATCGAAAGTAAAGCAAACATATTTAAAATTAATATCTGCTAACATTAATTGATATTCTTCTGTCTCAGGTTCATAGTCCACCAAGCATATTCCTAATGTGGTTGACTCGATCGGTTCCTCATACATGTTTCTGATATTGGAAGACTTCCTACATAGAACAAAGTTCTCACCAGTTTGATTCCATGTTCTTTCGATTCATCAAAATATATATCCTCCCTTATTCAATTACTAATTTGCTGCAGAATTTGAGTTGGTTTTGTTACATATTTTTTTAATTTCTGCAAATAGTTTTCAAATGCGTACGATGAGTTGTTCGATGGAACACCCAACACTTCTACACTTTCTTGAATATGAAGTAAGTTATGTACATTGTATGAGACACTATTTTCACCAAATAAAATTGGAAAATTTTCAGCGAATAATTTCATCATGTTCTGCGCATTCCCCAAATTTTTGAGTACTGCTATGAGTAGCACGAAAACCTGTATGCGCAATGGAGCAGCAAAAATTCGTAGAATAAGTCGTCATGAATCTTATTTTTTAAAACGCAAATGCCAGTATATAACAGAAACTCTCTGAACTCAGTTGCTTTCCAATTTGTAATTTCATCAAGGGATCTTGGCTTACGAACAAAGTCTTTTGGGATACACTTGCTTAGAGAAATTAATTTCTCTGACATTACGATCAAGAAACTTTCGCATTACTCCTAAATAATGCATTTAATAAATGCATACAATCTAAAGGTTGATGTGATATCATTTTAATATCAAGTTTTTCAAGTGGGGACTCTTTGTTCAAATAACTTTCGACGTGATGTTCTGGAAATTTTCTAAAGAAAAAGTCTCCATCAGATATCATATTTCCACATTTAGTGCTATAACTTAAAATTTTATCAATTTTTTTGCCAATTTAAGTACATTTAGAGCAGCCGTACCGTGATGTATGACCGGGAGTATTTGCAATTTCAACACCAGTTTTTAAAATTGTACTCATCTCGAATACAAAATTATCCAAACAACATTCAATATTTGATGGTTTTTATTGCCCTAAATAAATCCTAACTGGAAGCACTGGCATGCATTTCCTATTGACAACTCGAATCAATATTGGCCATAGTTGTGTTTTCGAACTTTGAAACAGAAGAAGACCATCAATATTTACGTCTATTAGCAATTTATTTTCAAATTTTATCGCTTTATACAGTTCTTTAAGTTGTTTTTCTACTCCGAAAATTTTCAAATCAAAAAGATTTTCACAAATTATGCGGAACATTTAACTTTTCATCACGCAAAATACTGAATAAGTCAGAAACGCATGCATGGCCTATGCTTAAAGTACCATTTTTTAATTTTTCTGATAATGGCATTGGAGCAACATCATCAAAATTTGGACATGGGCATTCTATTTCTTCATCAACTACCACCGGTGTCTCAATTTCCGTATCAACAACACTTTCACTGCAACCCGTTCTTTCAGAATGCGAAATTTTATTTAAATAAATCTGGTGAAGCATTACCAGGGGTCAGAATATGCACTAGTTCCAAAAAAAATTACTCTAATATGTGATTGAATTTCTTTGTTTCTCATTTGTTTTGGTTTTCTCTTGTTCAAAAATAATAGAATGCAATATCAAATTTTGTGCAAAAAAGATATTGAGAAATTTATATGTTTTAAGTGGCGATTTAACTCATCCCCACGTTCCAGTCATTTCACTAGTTCTATTGGACTACTTCGTGTACTAGTGCCTAGCGACAATTGTCTCCTAAGGAACTGCTGGGCTCTTACAAAAAGAAATGTCCATGAAACGAAAATTCAAGCTGACACCGAAGCAAACTATCGTCACGTTGTCAGAGATTTACAAGCTAATAATAGAGACTTCTACACATATCAACTTAAAAGCAGTGAGGGAGTTTCCGTGGTAATAAAAGAAATCAATTCCAACATAAATACTGATGAGGTAAAAGAAGCTCATGAAGAGCTAAGACTTGGGTCATGAAGAGCCAAGTCAGTTATTAATACAATTAACATGGACAAAGCCCCACAGCCAATGTATAAGGTAGAACTGCTGCCAAATCCCACAAAATTAACACTGGAAGGTCATCGTTATTTTTATAACACAAAGATCACCCTTCGTCGATTCGACGACGAAATTATTTAAGATCATGTTGAAATAACCCTATGTATCAAAACTCACAAAAGTTTTTACTTTTATATTATTTTATTTATATATTATCAAAATAAATCAATATCAAGGCGTTCTTTTACAGTCTATTAAATATAATAAGGTTTCACAGTTCCCTTTTGTTTGACTTTTTTGTACAAAATACTAATAGAAAAATATAAAAAATAAATAAATAAGACACATATTTTTCATTGAATGTCTTGTTTTCTTAAAAGTAATACTACAAACTAAAAATGAACATGTTTTCAGGAACTTCAGTCTTCATTTTGAGCAAGAGGCACAAAGCTCTATTTTATGCTCCCCACAGAGATTTTTCTGGCATTTTGCGCAGCATGATTTTGTCATTCGTCGCTTAGCAGGTGGACAAATTGCGTTTTTTAATATTTTTTTCACAAATTTTATCGTTCTTCTCAATAGCAATTAAATTTTCAATATTTGATCGCAGCGTCGATCTGTTAAATGAGTATCGACAAGGGTAGAATACAATTTTTTCATGAAAATTGAGCGACTGAGAGGTTTTTGATTTATGTGAAACATATTAAGGGAGTAGGTAACATAGCTGTTTATAAATGCCATATTTATCATCCCAAAAAAATAACACATTGATCATTTTGTTTGTTTTTCGTGAACAGCTCATGACACTACACATTTGGTCAAAAGTGTCAACGCCACCTTTGGTTTTGTTATAGAATTCGATCATATAAGGTTTGTTGAATTTACGATTGACAGCGCCTTCTTCATTACAAGTTGATAATAAATATATTTCTTTGCTTGGCTTCGGTTTATAACAGAGAAGTGTCAGTTCATTGTCATAGCAAAACACTGATGTATTACATTTGCGACCCTTTATGTTTCTCATTTTATTTGGAATTTCTTTCTTATTGGAACGAAGGGTTCCAACAATTGTCAGTTTATACGGTTCACATAACAGTGGTTTAGCCAGAGGAACCGATGTAAACGAGTTGTCCATGGTCAAACTTCTATTTAAGCCATGTACAGTTTTTGTAATTTCTTTGACATAGTACTCACCAAGAGGAAGGTTTGTTCTGTTTGTGCCTTTTCCCAAATGCGGCAAAGGGTCAACTATGTATTTTGTGCCACTATCGCACATCATAACCATTTTGAGCCCATATTTTGCTGGCTTGTTGGGAATGTACATTCGAAAACTGTACATTTGTCTCTGAACGCCATTACTTGTTCGTCAATTGTAAGGGATTCCCCAGGTGTATAATTCTTGCGGCATTTTTGAATAAACATCTGCCAAATTTTTCTAATGGGAGCAAACTTATCTCCAACTGATTGAATGCGTATTGATTTATCGTCGAATCGAATACAAGACATAAGGAACTTGAACCTTGCTTTCGGCACAATTGAAATATATAGCATTCCACCGTATGATTTGTCAAACATTTCGTCTGTAGAAATATGCTGGTCCTTTTTAACTCCTGTCAATACTAAAATTCCAATTAGTTCTGTTATTTCCTTCGAAGAAGTTTTTTTTCTTTGGGCTTCATCTGTAGCTTGAAGAAAAGGTGACTGACGATTAGCAATTTCAACGTTTGTCCATTGAACAATTTCCTCTCCGATCTTTAGCGTAATAAACATTTGGAAACATGCCAGTGGATCCGTTATATTATTGCATTGGTGCGTTGTTCCTCGTACTTCATGTACAATATGTACAACTAGATGTCGCATCAACCGGACATCCTATATATTGGCCATCACTGCAACAAAATCCCAGATTTTATTGGTTTCGCTGTAACAAAAGGGTATTTCGGTATTTCGTGACTTTATTTCGGTCTACACAAGTTATGGCGTTCTAGGTATTTATTTTGAAAAACTTTTAAGTAGAACGAATAACATAATTCGTTTCAGCTACGCAAAACCACTTATTCAAATCAACAAAATAGACAAAAAAATCGAAGGAGTTGAACCAACAGAGGTTTTAGAGCGTTGCAAACAAAATAAAGTGCCTGGTAAAGATAGAATTCTAGCAGAATTTTTAAAATTTGCATCAGGTAAAGATATCACAAGGATTACAAAAATTTTTGATAATACGATAACTCAGAAGTATCGAAATGTCTTAAAAATTCAATAGTGTTGCCACTATTTAAAGGAGATGATCTGCATGACGTGAAAAATTAGAGAGGAATACCCATTTTAAATTCGATAGCAAAAGTATTTACAGGCACTAAGTGAACACCAAAAAGGTTTCAAGCGAGGATATTCAACAGTGGACAATGTTTTCATTCTGACAATTATTGCAAAATTATACGTGAAAAATGGCAAAAAATTGTACATGTTTTTTGTAGACTTTAAAGCTGCAGAAGAATTTCTAATATTAAATACATCTTGCAATTTACAAACTATTATTACTTTTTACATTATTGTTTAATTTCACATTATGACTTTATTTTAATTCAATACGGTTTTTGTACTTGGAGTTGACAGGTAAGGTGGCGGGTTGGCTCTCGTTGGTGTTCAGGCTACATTATACACAGGTAGTTCGGTCAACTGGTTGTTTGTTTTTTGAAATGTATTTAAAAAGCCATGATGATATGTTGCGGAATAATAGACCTGCCATCCTGCTTTACTAAAGATCATCCTGTTCGATTCAACTTAGGCGCCGTTATATCTGGTAAATTAGCCCGGCTACTTATTCAGAGGCTCCTTAAAACAATTTACAAATGATTATATAATTTATTATTGTATGTTTTTACAAAATAGTTTGTAATGTAATGTTGTCAGTATTTAAGATTCTAAAACTTATTGTTAGGCTTTAATTAAAAACGATTAAGTAAAGACATATTGTTGAATAAAAAAAATAGTAAAAGTATTTACTACATGTGGAAATTCTTTGATTATTAATTATTTTTTTAGATGAATAGAAAAATGTTCCTATATAAAAAATGGTTAAATCCAAAATATATTCACTTATATCGATCCATTGTTATCATACAAAATATCCATTACACATATCCATTACACATCCCTAAATAGATCCAACAATATGTAACATGTATAGTAAACCATGTATGGTAATAGGTTGGATCTTTATCAAAATTCCAAGTCAAAGCTAAAGAGTATAATCTCTTAATCTTGAAGAAAATGTCACATAAAAAACTCATTCAGCTGTTGTTTCTAAATACACAATATTATTAGAAAGTGAGGTGTTCAACATTGCTACAATAAGGCAGTAAGACTATATGTAAGCTTTATGTAATGTATATGTTATGTAACAAGTTACATGCTTACTACTACTTATGCATAATTTATTTATACTGTTCGATTAATAACGAAAGCTAATTTAAATTTTGTCTGATAATAAAGTTTTGTATAAAATCGTTTTTATAGTAAGCATTAAAACTCTACATCTAATCTTTGCAGTGCTTGATTGCCAGGTCAGTGATTGGAGCCCTTGGAGTGAATGTGACAAAAGTTGCGGCACCGGCATTATGTCCCGCATACGAAAAGTCATACTGCCAGCACAGAATGGTGGAAAGCACTGTCCATCGCTGGTACAAAAAAGAGGCTGTCAAGTCTTCAATTGCTATGGACATCACGATAAAAAAACACTGCACGGTAAATGAGTTACTTTTTTATTTTTCATTTCTGTTTTTATTATCTCAACTTTTTTATGTTTATGTTAACAAATTGCTTACAGAGCAGCATTTTTCCAATCATTTTAATCATTGAAGTTACTGTAAAGATATCTTTATCTTTAAAGTAAAGAATTGTAAATAAATTTCCAATAGCTACACTTAAATGAAAATTAGAACAAATGCATGCTATATGCAAAGAAGTTAGTAAGGGCCATGTTATGTAGAGCATCTCGGGCACGGCAAAATTAGCTTTTTCGGGCTATGCTGAAAATGCATGTTTGGTTGTGCCCAAATTTTAAATCAAATATATTCATGCTTACTTGTTTGGTTTTAACTTACAATTACTTATAAGCAATTTTAAAAATGAGTGCAACTAAGAAAATTGAATATGAAAAAATGAATTAAAAAATTATTTAAGGGTTTAACGAATGGACCGCATAGCCTTTTGGAAGGAAGACGATACCCTTCTACAATGCCTACATTTCGTTAAAATGTTGCAGCAGAAACAGCCCCGGAAAAGGTTGTGCGCGGAATGATAGGAGAATTCGCGATTCGTATGCATTTATGTCTAATGAACTGCGCCTGTTAGACACAAATACATACAACAACTTCTACAGGATGTCCGGGAATGCTTTTAAATTGTTATAACAGATTGTAGAAATAGATCTACAAAAGTTGAATACAAACGTCCGAAATGCTATTTCTCCAGAAGAACAATTGTCTGTAACACTACGATTTTTGGCAACTGGAAAAAGTTATAAAAGTTTAGGATATCAAACAAGACTATCCTACTCTTGTTCGGTATATTGTATACCGAACGTATGTCGCACAATTTGGAAAAATATTTTATTTTGTATATAATAAACTAAAACTTACCAAAACCCTAATTAAAGCTTACCACATCTCGTACTCGCCAATGCTTACTAAACGTAGATCTCAACCACCTTGGTGGAATAAGGAATTAGAATCAAAAAGACGTTACGTTCGCAAAATCTTCAACCTGGCTCAGCTGGCAGAATGTGAAGTTATTTGGGAGGAGTATAGGGATATTCATAAGCAATACAAGAAAGTTATTCATAACGCGAAGAAAAACTCCTGAAAGGATTTCTGCGTAGAAAGCTACTGTCCAAATACCCAACTATACCTACCCTTGTCAAGAAGAAAAACGACGAATGAACTAAAACCAAGACCGAGACGCTTGTAGACTTCACTAACTTTCACTTTTCTAACTGAGCAACAAGCAGTCAAAAATACAGTTGGTATGGGCAATCAATTTATTCGCCTCACATAAATCTCATGGGCTCGATGGTATTTATCCAGTTATGATGAAAAAGATCTCGGATCTAATTAAACCATAACTAATAAATAGAGGATGCTTGAGATATAATTAAGTACCTGTGAACCGGATAGTGGCAAGGGTCACCTCTACTGTAAAGATTATAGACCAATTAGTCTTACTTTTTCCATTCTCAAAATAATCGAAAAAATACTGGCAACACATATAGAGGATCAATCAGATTCCGAAGTCTTGTCAAAAGCACAACACGCTTACATAAAATGCATATCCACAGAGACTGCTCTCCACACACTTGTCTCTAATATTGGAAAAACCTTAGAATACAAAAAACACGCTCTAAGAGTTTTTCTGGATATTGCAGGTGCTTTGAATAATGTATCAAGGCAAGCTATTTTAAATAGCTTAGGTGATGTTGGTATTGACTCTGCCATATGTTCAATGGATTGCAAGTCTTTTAAGCTGCAGACAGATAAGGGCAGAATAGAATGACACAATTTTATCTAGGGAAACATGTAGAGGAAATTCTTATAAAATTCTTATAATATTCAATAAAATTCTTATTTAATTTGATGGTAAAGCTCCGAAAATAATTGCATATGCAGACGACATTGCTGTAGTTATGACGGGGAGATGCCTATCAATTTTAAGTGCGCTAATGAGTGACGCTTTCAAATCAATTAACAACTGGGCGACACCCGCTGGCTTGAGCGTAAATGCAGAAAAACGGACACAATACTTTTCACAAGAAATTACAATTTTGCAGCATGGACGTCAGCTAACTTAAACAGCCCTCTTCTGCCACTGAAAACTCAAACGAAATACCTTGGATCAAACTGACCTGTAAACCCAATGTAGAGGAATGGGTAAAGTAGGCAACAAATGTTTTATACGCATGTGAAAGGATGTTTAGAAGTACATGGGGCCTCTCACTCGCTCTTATGTATTGTTGCTACACGGCTATAGTAGTAGACCTATACTTATATACGGTATATTGGTTTGGTGGACAGTTGTTAAGAAGAAAATGTATATAAAACCTCTGAAAGAGGTCCAAACACATGCGGCGATTTGTATCGCCACAACACCATAAATGTTTTCACAGACGATTTAAATATGGAAGCGGGAGTAGGAGCCAAGGAGAGCAAAGGAAAAGTGGCGATACTTAACCACCTGTAGAATTGCTAGGATCATGTGTAGACACATATGCGAGGAAAAGTGCACCAAAGATGATATGTCGTCTAGCCGAAGGAACTGCAGAACATTAATTGGTGTATTGACAGGTCACTATCTGGTCGCATCACATGCGCACAAACTAAACTTAATTTACAGTAATGCTTGTAGGAAATGCAACGAACCGGATGCAAAGGAAACTCTAGCTCTCTCAAGAACTCGACAAAAATACTTGTATGCTGTCAGTTTCAGTTTCTGTTGCAATTCCAATAAAATGAAACGCACATCCTAATGAAACGCGCATCCTAAGTGATGCACACATTGACAAAAGAAGACTCTGATCTGGTATCGCAATGGACCTAAATGGTCTTCGCGTGGCCGTTTTGGTCTACCAGCATAATCTAACAACCTAATAAACTAGTGAAATATATACAGTATATACAATTGTTTAATCTAAATTACTGATATGTACAATATTTTTAATTGTTTAGACTTAACTACTAATATATACAATATTTACTTAAAATTTGAAATTATATATTTATAATATGTTATATGTTTTATATTAGGCGTTTTCTTTTGTAAGCATATCACAAAAGAACTAAGAAAATAAGCACTGCTTTCTATGGCAACTCTCGACAAAATTGAGATTTTGATCAGTTTATATGTGCAAAACATGCAATATTACTTAATGTTGTAATTAAATAATAATGAATAATAATTACTTGGAACTAATGATGGGAATTTTTTTTTACATGATTGCAAATAAAACATGGATTTTCATGCCTTTTAACAGTAAAATAATATACAGAAAAAATAACGTATTTGTTACGAACAAAGACGACACGAAATACGAATAATTTACGAAATCATTCGTTGACAGTTAACCGGAAATTTCATAAATACTTTCAAAAGTCGTTCACAATAGATAAATTTTTAGTGTTGGCAATCATGAGATTTGAACTGCTTATTAGTTAAGCGGTTTCAAAAAGATTGGACTAAATAAGCCAACAGTGTTGTTGTTTGATATATTATTTTTAAAACAAGCAATTGTTCTTTTGTGACATGCCTACAAAAGAAAACGCCTATTACTACTTATTGATTTTTTTTGTTAAAATTCATAACAATTCATAACGTAATCTTTTGCATAATTATTCAGTAATTTCTAAGATCTGAAATATATATGTTACAAAACATAGAGTGGGAAAAACAAATTATAGCGAACCTTTAACATTTGGCTATTAGTAGAAAAATGGAAAAACTTGGATAAATTTTTTGGGTATCGCAGACAGAAGTGACAAAGGCCAGAAAAATAAGGGGAATTTCTGCAAATTTTCACTTCTAAAATTTTACCGTTAATACAAATTAAACATGTTTTTCGATACAAATAATAACAATATACCAAGCTTTAAAATATATAAAAAAGTTAAAAAATGATCAAGTTTTATAATTCGCAAGCTTCTCTAATTCATAAAATTGCAAAAAAATTACAATAACTTACAAAATAGTGCAAAGAAGAAATTTGGGTTTCAAAAAAAATTCTGAAATGAATGAAATCAAATGCATTGAAAACCAGCCAAAAACCATTTGGCAGACATTCACTGTTTTGATATCTTTATGAGTTGCTCTTCCTGATTTCACTCTTGTTAAACACATCCTTGTACATAAAATACCAACAACTGTAGTTCAGAGAGCACAAAATGACGCTAAAACAATAAAAATTTCTTTGCACTCGTGAATAATGAAATGGTTTAACCATTGGGTAAAAATATTATAGAGTCACAATGACTCAATTATTAAATTTTCAGGCACAGGCAACAGGCACGAGAGGGCGGAATGAAGATATTCTTTCTTTCTGCGCTGCTGCTAGATCGGCAGCACTTATGTTTGTTTTTTCTAAAAAATTTTCTGTTAATGAATGGAAAACAAGCAGGCCGTACAAGAAAAGAATCAAATTAGTTTTTGGTGTAATTATTTGTTTTTGCAATCAATGCTTGGTAGCAGCTGGTAAAAGCTGCATGCATTTAAATGCACTTCATAATGCAAATAAAAGAAACGTCCCTACTTCTTTAGAAGTTTACTCACCTACATAAATAACTTAACATATTTACATACAAAAGATAGAACTTAACATATTTGTATATAAGAGGTAGAGTCCACTTAATATGGATTCCAGGGCACAGCGGATTTGAGGGAAACGAAAAAGCGGATGAACTAGCGAGAAAAGGGGCGGCCTCATATTGTATTGGGCCACAACCATTCTGCGGTCCTTCGTGGAGCTTTTTCAAACTTAAAAATAATGAGTGGCTGGAAAGAGCAGCTCAAACTGATTAAGATAATACAATTGCCTGCAGACAAGCCAAAGAATCCATGCCGTTTCGAACAAAAGCCAGAACTAGGGAGCTATTTATGCTAAACAGAAGTGGTATCCGACTTTTCACAGGATTCCTCACTGGGCACTGCGGAGTTAAAAAGCATCTATCGAATTTAGGTATTACTAGAGACGATAGTTGCAG